TGAGGATCACTATTATTATTATCTCACTCTTATCTTATTTGATGGCATTCTGATAGAAATGGACCTGTGACAAGTTGCTAGCCTTTTTCATTTAATGTTTTGGGGGACTGTTGGATAGGTGGGTATAGCTGAACAAAAATGGTAAGCCCATCTTCTGGGGGGGTCACAGGTGATCAGGAGGATATGTACTTTATCCTGTTGTAGAATGATTTTGATTTCTTCTACTAGCTTTCTGTGTTTTGAAAGTTTTTTTTATTTCATACAACTTAGAGTTGTAAGGATTTCATATGCCAACAGCTGTTAAAAATACTTACAATTTTATGGATCTAGTGTTATATTCAGGTCATTGTATGCAACAGTTGTGTGTGATAATGCTCCAGTTTCAGCATAATTTATTTGAGTTCTTCAGTATATTTTGAGGTCTATATCTGGTTTCCCCCCCCCATTTAATAGTATTTTATTTTTTCCAATTGAAGTCTGTACTTGTAATACTATATAGAGATTTGTTGTCTGTCAATCTATGGAAGATAGGGAGCTTCTGATGTTTAGGTCTAGCCATTACATCTAGCCAGGAAGGTAGTGCAGTGGATGGAGCACCTGGCTTGTAGTCAGGAAGACCAGAGTTCAAATGAAGCCTCAGACCCCTAATAGCTGTGTGACCCTGGGCAAGTCATTTAATTGTTTGCCTCAGTTTGCTCATCTGTAAAATGAGCTGGAGAAGGAAATGGCAAATTATTCCAGTTTCTTTGCCAAGAAAACCTCAAATGGGATCACGAAGAATGGGACATGATTGAAATGGCTAAACAACAACACTACATATTGTCTGTCTAGGTATTTGGTAGGTGCTAAACTTTTGCAGCCTGCAAATGATGTTACTGCATTGGTAACTAACTCTGGGTTCCTCAAAGATAACTCTTCTGTAATTTCTGGGAATGATGACCTATTTCTGAATTGCTATCATAAACCTCTCCATTTCCATAAACAAATCCCCACGAGTCAGCCTTAATTATTGTTGTTGTCTCATTTTCATCTTTTTCAGTGGGGTTCAGATAGAAACAGTCTGAGGACAAGTCATTCATTATCCTGCTATTATTATGTTATATTTAATATTTTGTAGGCTGTCATATAGATGGATAAAATTACTGCTTTTTATAATTGAATAAGAATATTCAATCAATGAGTAAGCATTTATTTAAGTAGCTATTATATGCTGGATGCTGTCCTAAGTACTGGACCTTCAAAGACATGATCTTGAATGGCTACCATAAATCTGTCAATTTTTATAAACATATCTATATAATAATTCTTTGATATTTTTTAAAATTAACATGTTGTTGGTTGAATTCATGTGGATATCATCCATGTGTTGCCTGCAACCAGATTGTACACCGAATGGAGAGGCGTGAAATAACTTATGACATGGGCCAGGTGGAGTAGAATTACTGACTCAGTTTATTCATCTGAGGGCACAGAATATATAGGGAAGATCTAGCCTAACTTCAAAGAGTCCTCCCCGTGAGATACTCCCCAGAACATCTGCTGAGGATGTAACAATCATGAATTTCCTGCTTATCAGGGTTCCTAGATTGGGCTGTAGATTCCAAGGTTTTCCCAGGCACCTTGGCGCCACCTGCATAGAGGAGTAAATATGTAAATCTAAGGTTCAAAGAGAGAGAAGGGATGTCTCAGAGACCTCTTTATCAGGAAGGAATTGGGGAGCTGTACCGCTTAATCCCTGAGCCCTTTGGGGTGAAAGCCTGAGCAGAGGTCAAACTCTGCCTTGGATCTTAAACCCTTATCAGACTCTTAAGATCGGCCCTCAACAACTCCCTCCCTTCTCGAATTAGCAAGGAGCTTGAGGTGATGAACATCCGTTCCCAACACTGTGATCCTTGATTTAATTAAGGTAACAATGCAGGGGACAATAAAACATAATATGATGAATAATATTGCCCAAGACAATGCATGAAGTAACAAGGCAGGTAAATTGTTAAATATATTGGTCTCACTTAATTTTTTCAGGATCTCTACAGCCAGATTTTTTGGGTTAATCCCTGGAGAGTGACTATCTACAATCACCTGGGTGATATTAGCAAGAAAAGACAAATCAGCAGAAAGGTTACTATTATGCCAAACACCTTCTAAATGATTCTTAACCATGTTCCAATTTACAATGCTAGAATTATATGGAAAAGGAGTAACACATACCATAGTAAAGCGATAATCACATTTTAAAGTAGCTCTAAATTCTATTTCTGCAACTTCATCCCCAATAAATTCCACAGCATCTTTTAATGCATCCAATTTTCTCTCAAAATCTAAATCAATTTCCTTTTGTGTGTGAAGTGCCAATGACACATTCCTAGCCAATGCTTCAGTGTATTGTGCATCATGCACTTGCTGTGTAAATGTATGAAATGTTACTGCAGATGCAACAAGGGATGAGATAAGTGATACCAGGGACACAACTCCCCAAACGACACATTGGACACATCTCTTTTTTCTAACAGAAATCTCTCGATTAAGATAGTACAATGTTTGATCAGCAGGAGCTAAAAACCATCCCTCCTGTACTTGAGTAGGAAATATAGAATATTTAGGTCTTTCTAATATCATAGCTACAAATTCCCAAGTTCCATGTGCATAATATAAGCATCTATTTACTACACAATTTTTGCATACAATTTTATAATACCCATCAGGTGTCAGTGTGATGTTGGGTCTTCCCAAAAGAAATGCTTGATGCCTGGGTAAACAGGCAACTAGCTTTGTTCTATTATAAAAAGAGCAATATCAGGTTTAAAGGGAGTGGCAGCATGTAAGTATATAGGATCAAATGCTGCCATTGCTAACCAAAGTTTTTCCTGATGTACACCATTCTTATTGATAATTCCTGGCATAATCCACCCCTGTCTTGCACCCTCAATATCATTATCTAATTTATTCCATATTTCAAATTTTTCCCACTTGTAATTAGCTACACCCCTATACTGAGTATGACATTTTACCCAAGGTGGAATTTTATGCCATGCTGACAATACAGAGATATTAGAACAATCTGGCCAGGGAGAAAGATGAGCTGGCCCTTTCACAGATCTAGTAGTTTCCATACCAAACATAGATATATTCCAAACTATTCCCCTAGGAACAAATTGAGCAGAGTGAGTAATATTTTCTAACTTAACACAATAATCTATAAAGTCTACATTAATTCCAAAACATATTGGGGGTGTGCCAGTTTTGCCTTTAAAATTGTATCCTAAAACATCCTTCATTTCTAAGTCTTTAATTCTCCAATCCCTTTGTCCAAAAATTTCTGCCGCTTGTCCTGCGGTATAATGTCAATAACTGGATCATCCCAGTGAGTAGTCTCGGCCACGGGGGGTTGTTAACGTATGACCAAAGCTGTAAAGTCTTTACTTCAATAGTCATTGTTTGTAACAGCATCATCAGTTGCAGCAGCCATCCTGCCGAGCTTGCTCCGCCGTCGCCTCCGGCACTGCTTCTGTTTTCTTATGTCCTTTTTCCTCTTTGGTGTTTGAAGTTTCCGAAACCTCCGGGTCATCTCTGAGACAGATTCTGATGTTACATTCAGGGATCCATATTGGTCCTTCTGCACCATCTGGAAAGACAGAAGCATACCCTCGTCCCCAGGTCAATAATCTATCTGGTCCAAACCAATGATTGGTTTTTGGGTCCTTCCACATGACTCTTTTTTGAGTCTTTTGTTCCTCATAATTACTCCCTTATGTAATCTAAAGTGTTTTTCAGCTGGGGTACAGCCTTCTCTATCAGGAGTAAGAAAATTTAAAGCATATACTGCTTGAGCCAATTGTCTTCGTGGCCTACCCCTGGCTTCTCCCCCTTTTGCTTTTGAAGAAATGTTTTAAGAGATCTATTTTTCCTTTCCACAATTGCTTGACCGTAGGATTATAAGGAATCCGTAATGTGGTGAATATGAAATGTAAGACAGAACGTACGAAATGCATGAGAAACATAAGCAGGGCCATTATCAGTTTTTAAAACTGAGGGCACACCAGAAATAGAAAAGCAATGAAGCATATGATCTATGACATTTTGTACTGCTTCCCCTGCTTGTGCAGTAGCCATAGTGAAGGAAGAATAAGTATCGACTGTTACATGAATAAATTGTAACTTTGCAAAACTGCTGTAATGAGTAACATCCATTTGCCAAATTTCTCCTGAATATAATCCGCTGGATTAACAGCCATTTTATATGGTGTGGGTATATAAGGAAGACATTTACAGCAGGATTTTACTATCTGTCGAGCCTGTTCTCTAGTAATCCCAAATTGTTTCCTTAACATAGAGGCAGACTGATGAAATTTGTCATGTGATTCCTTAGCTTCCTCAACAGACAACATTAACAGGGTTGGTCTAGTGAGGTCATCAGCTATCTGATTCCCATGTGTAATAGGTCCTGGAAGCTCCGTATGTGAAGGAACATGTGTACAATATACTGGGGAAGTTCGTTCCCGAATAGTTTTTTGTAACATCATAAAAAGTTGCAATATATTATAATTAGATGACACTTTAATTTGAGCAGTTTCTATGTTATTAACCATTCCTACTGCATATTTACTGTCTGAAAATATATTAAGAGGACCAGAATATCTTTGTAGTACTAATATTATAGCATAAATTTCATTTTGTTGTGTAGAATCAAATGGTGTATGTGCTGCATATCTCTCATCAGGGGGAATAAAATATGTTGAAATGTGATGAGAGGAAGCGTCAGTAAAGGCACAGAGTGCTCCCACTATGGGATCCTTTTGCACTATCGTGTTAATAATCCACTGATGTTTCCTGGCAAATTGTAAAATTGGGTATTGGTAAGTATTATCTATTTCCCCTTGAAAAATAGTAAGAAGCACCTGCCAAGAATGGTCTTGACTGAGCAATTCCTCTATTTGTTTTTTATCATAAGGTTGATGTATAATACTAGGGCATTTCCAACTAATTGTAATATTCTTTTGCAGGCTTTCTTAGCCCAGTCTGCTACCATAGAAGGATATGTTTGAAGGGTATATTTCGGCTGTGAAGGCCAAAAAACCCACTCCAGTAACTTGTCTTTCTGATGTATACATCCAAAAGGTATATCTGGGGTATCTAATATTGTAACTTCTAAAGGCACACCAGATTCTATGCGATGAGCCATTGCAGTTTCAATTGATTCTTGTATTTTTTCTAATTGCTGTTTTGCTTTTGTAGTAAGTGTTCTAGGAGATGGATGTAGGATCAGGGTCGCCTCTAAGAATATCATATAGATCCTTTAATTCATGAGTCCCTATTTTTAAATAAGATCTGATCCAATTAATGTCTCCTAGGAGTTTCTGAAAATCATTTAATGTTTTTAGTTTATCTTGTCTAATACATATCTTTTGAGGCTGAATTTCTTTCATCCCTACTAATTGTCCTAAGTACGAGTAAGGAGGTGCCTTTTGAATCTTTTCAGGTGCAATCTCTAACCCATGATCTCTAAGAGCTGTAAACATGTCCCCCATAATACTAGCTAATTGCTCTTTTTGTGGATGAGCACAAACGATGTCATCCATATAATGAATTATGTATGCTTGGGGGTATTTTTTTTCCTGATGGGAACAAGCAAGGAAAAAATAGGGATCTATAGCATCTGCTACATATTGCTGACAATGGTGGGGCTATTCTTCATCCCTTGAGGAAGCACCTTCCACTGATATCTTTGGTAAGGTTGTTTCAAATTTTCTGATGGTAATGAGAATGCAAAGTATTTACAATCTTCTGCTCTAAGAGGTATAGTATAAAAACAATCTTTTAAATCAATTACCCACAAAGGCCAGTCTGCCAGGATTGCAATCGGAGAAGGCAGCCCTGGCTGTAAGGTTCCCATAGTTATACAAGCATTAACTTGTCTGAGATCTGTTAACATTCTCCATTTGCCTGATTTTTTCTTAATAGCAAATATAGGAGAATTCCATGGACTAGTGGAAAATTCTATATGACCTGCTGCCAATTGTCTGGTTATAATATCTCGAAGAGCCTTAATTTTTTCTAGACTAAGGGGCCACTGGTCCACCCATATGGGGGGCCCTTCTTTCCATGTTATCTTAGGAACCTGTACTGTTCTTTTCTTTTCGACCGTGACCCCTACTAAAAATTTTTGCTACTTACAGTAACATTCATATGTTTCAATAAATCTCTTCCCCAGAGGCAGTATGGAAGGTGTGGCAATACATATGGTCTAAATCTCCCTTGCTGCCCCTCCACTCTCCAAGTAAGCCATGCCGTGCTTTGTGCAGGAGCGGCTATTTCTCCTACTCCCTGTAACATCACATTTCTTTGATCTAGTGGCCAGTTTCTAGGCCAAGCCCGTAAGGTACAACTGACTTATCAGCTCCAGTGTCTATTAACCCTTCAAATTCTTTTCCTTGTACCTCTATTTTTAGAGTTGGTCTGGCATCTGTGATAGTTCTATGCCAAAACAGTCCTGTGCTACCAAATCCTTCTGTCCCCTTACCTTTTTTGTCATATTCCCCAGTTTTTTATAATCCATTACAGTCATTTGTGCTATTCTTTCCCCTTTTTGAATGACAAAACGACAACAAGGAAAAGCATAAACCATAACCTCAATTTCTCCAGTGTAATCAGAGTCCACCACTCCAGGAATGACCATGAGTCCCCTAAGTGTCTGGGAACTATGGCCTAAGATTAAACCCACCATCCCTGGGGTAATGGACCATGTACTCTAGTGGGAATACGTACAACTTCATCTCCAGTGTTTTTATCAAGAGTGGAACTTAAATCTAATCCGGCACTACCTGGGGTGGCATGAATAAGGTCTAATATTGTGAGTCTTGTGGGCGGGGAGCAGGGACTGGTTGAATCAATGACAGCGCTGCTCCTATTGTTTGGAGGGGCTGGAGCGGCCCTTCCGGGGGTTTAAAGGCTGTCCATTAACATCTGAAGTAGATCTACATAATGAAGCCCAATGATTTCCTCTTTGACACCTAGGACAAGGAGTAGTAGGGGGCTGAGACGGTGTCTTCCTAAGATCCCTACAATCCTTTTTTATATGGCCAGGCCTTCCACAATTAAAACATTTTAACCTTCTCAGGTGCCTCTGATTGTTAGGAAAGGCAGCTGCTAGCATTTCTGCTTGGGCTGCTGCCATAGCCTGTACCTGAAATTGCGTGGTCCCTACACTCTCACACCGCTGAATCATTTCTGTAATATCCATATTGGACTTGCCGCCTTGTAAGGCTTTTTTACAATCAGCATTAGCATTTTCACTGGCCAATTTTTGAAGGAGTATTTCAGCTGCTTTTGAATCAGAAATGCTCCTTTGTATGGCTTGCGTAAGTCAGGCTACAAAATCTGGGAAAGTTTCTTGGGGGCCTTGCTTTATCTGAGTATACGAGGCTCCCCTATCTTGTTTCCCAGGAACCTTTAACCATGCCGCCCGTGCAGCTTTCGTAATTTGTTCATATGCTACAAGTGGATAATCTAGCTGTTGCTGAAGTGCAGTAAACATTCCTGTCCCTGTGAGCTGCTCCAAAGAAACAGGAATCAATGTTCTTGTATTGTATCCTGCCTGCTCTTGGCATTGCTCAATAAATTCTGATTTCCATATTAGATAATCTCCTGGCTCCAAACATGTTTTTGCTAATGAATACCAATCATATGGGGCCATGGCTGTATTAGCTATTGAATCTAATAAAGTTTGTACATAGGGACTGTTTGGCCCATATTGTACAGAGGTTTGTTTTAATTCTCTTAAAACTTTGAATTCAAAATTCCTATGTTCCCTAATCATCTGTCCAGGATTATCTGGATTCTCTTCTTCATATAGTGGAAACATCATGCTTTTTGGGATAGCTAATTTTAAGTCCATAGGCACTTCTTCCCCTCTGCTTTCTGCCCTTTGTATTGTCTCTTCTAACAAGCCCTTACATATTAACTTTCTCCCAGGCTGTTGTTTAACTGAAGGTAAATACACATCTTTCTGTTGCTTAGGGGAATGCACATTTCTCTGTTGTATAACAGAATACTCATCTTCCCTCTCCTCTTCAACTATGCTCAATTGTTCCTCAAAGGCTTTATGCATTTCTTCTTCCTCATCTGTTCCTACCCCCTTATCTGCCCGTATCACTTTCTCAGCCACTAGTACTTTATCCAGGGGCTGTAAGACATATTTTTAGCACATTCCACATTAAAAAGGTAGCAATTGAGAATGCACCAGGGCCCTCTTCTCTGTAATATTCTCTTAGTTGCTTGCCTACAATCTCCCATTTCTCTAAATCAATTGTCCCTTCTGGTGGAAACCATGGGCAGCATTTTTCTATAACTTCTAAAAATTCCTGTAACTGACTGTTTGGAATAACTAAACCTTTTTCTTTTACTATTTGCATTAGTAATCTTAGGTAATACTCTCTATCTCTTTTTCCACTTTGTACTTGACCCATACTTTTGATCTTAAGGGCGCCTCTTAAGATCGAAAGTATATACGTGGGCCTTTCCAAAGTGACACTATATGTTATGCTCTAAATACTGAGCCTGTTTCTAAACTTTTTTCTAATCAATTTTTTTTAAATTTTATAATCTCCCACGTAAGCCTGGTGATTTTTCCCCCCTCTTAATCCTATTATTTCTATGGGGAAACATGTAATGACCCTCGTTCCTTTTTACCTTAGTACCACGGCGTTGAGCCACTTCAGGACCTTGTTTCCTGGCGTAGTGACCAGCAAGGATTTCTTCCTCCGGAGCGTGTTCAAGGAACCGACCTCCCTCTGACTTTTAGTCACTGTTCGATGCGCCAATTTGTCACCCGCAACCAGATTGTACACCGAATGGAGAGGCGTGAAATAACTTATGACATGGGCCAGGTGGAGTAGAATTACTGACTCAGTTTATTCATCTGAGGGCACAGAATATATAGGGAAGATCTAGCCTAACTTCAAAGAGTCCTCCCCGTGAGATACTCCCCAGAACATCTGCTGAGGATGTAACAATCATGAATTTCCTCCTTATCAGGGTTCCTAGATTGGGTTGTAGATTCCAAGGTTTTCCCAGGCGCCTTGGCGCCACCTGCATAGAGGAGTAAATACGTAAATCTAAGGTTCAAAGAGAGAGAAGGGATGTCTCAGAGACCTCTTTATCAGGAAGGAATTGGGGAGCTGTACCACTTAATCCCTGAGCCCTTTGGGGTGAAAGCCTGAGCAGAGGTCAAACTCTGCCTTGGATCTTAAACCCTTATCAGACTCTTAAGATGGCCCTCAGCATCCATGGAATGCCCTTTGATTTCACTCTTGAATCTTAATCCATGTCATAGACAACACTTGAAGATAAAACACTTTTGGTTACATGAGACAAATTCATTGGTATATAGCTATACAATAATGTCTGTAGCCTTTACAATTGCTTGGGAAGTGAGGTCTGTTTCAAAGTATTTCTATAAATTTAAACATGTTTTGTGTGTGCATGTGTGTGTGTGTGTGTGTGTGTGCTCTGAGAATATTAATCTTCCTTTCTTTTTGGCAAGGAACAGTTAATCTTTCTTTGTATGCATTGTGGTGGTAAACTTTGCATTTTATTAATATCCTATAGATATTCCTGCCAAGATAGCTGCCTGATAATCCTGGAAGGTCTCATCAGACTAAGTAGTGATCAAGAAATCCAATGACAAAATACAGTGACCTCTTCCACTTCTAGAATTTACCAAAAATCAACCAGAGGCCGATGGGTATTTGGAAAGGAAGCTTCACCAGGAAAGAAAGAATGACTGTGAACAGTGACATGACATACGTTGTTCACAAGGCTGTCTGACCAGAGGCAGCAAGAGCAGGGGGCTTTCATGATAAAGTCCCAGGATGGGGGCCTTAGAAGCCTCAATAAGTGGCAGCAGACAATGACATGGAACCAACAAGTGTAGTGCCAGCCATTGTGGTGCTGCAGACAATAGCCCAGGCCCAGGGGCTCTGAGGTCCCTAAACTCTGTCTTGAGATGCCAAAGAAAACTCTAAATATCTAGGAAGGCAGAGGTCAGCACAAAAACTTAAGGGACCCAAGGTGAGACCACGCAGGGCAGGTCTTGGCCTTGGCACAAAGCCCTAGTTCAG